TAGTCAATACCTACTACGATATACCTTTTCATGTTTCACGTATACTGTATACCGTTAATCTTAATTTCATAATATTGTAATTAGTAGTTATACACTTATACGTACATTTGCGTAATAGTAGTAATATTTTTCCACGGTCATAAAATACTATACATAGGTACCTACGATTTTATTGGTATTTTCCACCTAAATTATAATTTAAAAACCTAGTAACCAAGCATAAAAATGCTCATATCAAACTACCAATATTTCCCAAAGTGCGCAGACACATTTCAATATTTTACATGTATAGATTTCATAAACAAACAACAGCTGCTGATATATTAAAAAATTAATCAGCCTATCAAAAGTTTGGTTAAATAATTGTGAGTATCAATGTATTAACTTTTTTAAGGTTWCAGCATTTTCTGGGATTGTAATTATTTTTCAACCGCATAATTACTTATTAGTGCATTTTAATAGTCGAACTAATAATGTTGGTAGTTTATAGTTTTATACAATATAAATATTCATTCCTATATACCACAGAATATATGGAATTATTTGATACATTCAGTGATGTATATACTATGTATACAATAACAAAATAWAGCCATTAGGTAAGTAAACAATATTATTACTAACATATTTTTTATACAAATAACCAAATTATTATATCACATAATATGTCATATTATCACCAAAAAACTTTTTTTTCCAGATTGAACCGAAGACGCCTCGGGGATTGCTTTCGCATTACTGCCGCGAGAATYCACCAAAAAACTATAACCAATAATAATCATTGTCCCCTAATCCCCTAATTAAATTAAAATACGTTTTAAAAGTATTCAAACAACTTAAACGAATACCTTTTTTTTACGTTCAATGCATTTTATTGAAACATTTATTTTTATTTAGTTAATACATATTATATATTAAGCTATAATAAATAATCACGGGAAGTTAAAATTCTGTTAGATATTAATTAACYGCCGGTATACGTCCCGGCCGTTCAATGTGTGAGTGAGCGGCAGATATAATAGCCGGGTCCACACTATATGACGAACATAATGTTGTCGAACATTTCGTTTAGAAATTCGTTGAGAATGTTATCTGACTCGACGAACCAATGCTARGTACTGTACTTAAAAATGTTCGACAATAGTATTTGTTCAACATACACAAAGATTTCCTGCTCGTATTATTTATTTTCATATTAGCTGGAACCTACATCTATTGCGATGTGAATATAATTGCCAGTTTTTCTAAAAATTTAATAGTTTTAATTTTTTTTTCAATATGAGTGACGAAAATATAATTATTACAAGTGCAGCGTTTGTTTTTAAATCGTTAGTTTCTCAAGCAAAAAAAAAAATAAATCTTTTCATAATTGACGTTGGTGGCAACGTAGAATTTTTGAATGTAGAAGTCGTTATAATGGAAATTGGAAATGATTTAAGTCTGSAACATCCAGGATTCAAAAACTTCATAAGAATGTCACTAACAGATTTTGAACCATTGYTTGTAGTTATTGGTCCTTAAATTGGGAAGGATGCAATTCATCTATGCAATTATTGAACTGTTTTTAACATAAATAATATTTTTTTTTACTCAGTTGGTGGTGCAGGAGAGGCAACACGCGCGGAGAATTTATTATATAATAATTTGGTAACATTTTTAACAATATTTTGCAATGCACTATAAATAAATGAAAATTATTTTTAGATGCCTATAATTCATCAAATGCATGGAAATTAATAGCAAATTACTTTGATAAATTGTGGAATTTTCTGCTATGTGTAGGTGCTATTGACGGTAAACACATCGTAATGCAAGCACATATCAGTGGTCATATCATCGATTTGCTCATTATTTTGCAACTTCAGGGCGTGTTTATTGGCAAGATGAATAAATTTAATTTAATTTTTATTTATAACTACTGTAGTATTGTCTAATAACTATTTTAATATTATTAAGTATTAACCAATAAAAACTATTTTCATTAAACATATTTCATTGTTTTTAAAATAATTATTCAAATAATGTTGTATTACCTGTACATCATAATAAGTGTCWCGAGTATTTTTTGGTTTATTTCTGTCTGACAAAAAACTTAATGGCTTTGTACAAATACCACGCACTTGTGTAATTATCATCGTTTCCAGCGCCAGATTTTTACTTTTTACTTTATATTGTTCTCTACGAAATTTAGGACTGTATAATCTTCTATTTTTTGTCAACTTCTTGCTGTGAAACATCTAAGATGTTGGAAATTTCATTGATTGAATCTATCCTTCGGATTCGATTTTTGTATAGTTTGTGACCTGGATTCTAAATATTCTCACCTGCTGCACTAAATCAATAAATTTCAGAATTTGGTCTTGATTCCAATCTTTTTCGGTAGACATTTTAAATTAATAGATTATCTGATTATAAAACAACACTTCGGTCACACAGTGGTGAAATATCAGTAACGACTGAATTGATAATTGAATGCACCCAAATACAAATAAACATTATAAACATAGATGTATTATTAGAATAATTTAAAGGATCATTCTTCAGTTTTGGATTTCCCTGTATGAATAAAATATGTGAAAGTGGCATGGTATTGGGCTAAATTTAATAATTGTGTAGTTATACACAAAAAATGTAGTTGTAMAATTATTCTCCATTGCAGCAATAATATAAATATTTTATTCATTTATTATTATCAATTTATTACTAAATACTTAAACTCCAAATGTACAATACGCAAAAAAAAATACGTACTATTTGAAATTTTGTACCTATAGTTTATACCTACCCAATTAATTCAATATAATTKAATAGGAAATAATTTTACATACACCGTTATACATACAACATACACCACTTTAATACATTATAAGTGTCAAGCGTCCAATATAAACCTGAACTTCAGCCCCCCCCCCAAATCTCAAACACTATTTGTGCCTATAGGTGTAAGTAATAAGTGCTATAACAACAACTGTACGCGTTTTTGATTTTCACTTAGCTAGCATTTAAAAAGCCAAAATTCAAAATGTACCATTCCCGCCAATGGCAATCAGCTGGTGCCCGAGCCATTATCAAAAATCCGAACACGTGACTACGTGAGCACACGACGTATCATTCGTATTGGTGACGTACATTAATACACTGATAACACGRTACATTGATAAAAAAAAGTGATTACGTTCGTAAATTCGTTTTACAGTTTTACACAAATTCTATTATTTTTTTCATCTTTCTCGACCGATTACGAGTTTGACAATCGTTTATTAATTATCCAACTATTCCACGCTTGAAGACCATGTCTCTGAAGGTGACAAAAGCTCCAGAAAACGATTTTTTTCTCACTAGAGAGCTACTGGTTGCTCTACTCGTTCTGTTCTTCACTGTTGGTGAGTGACGATTTACTTCCCATATCCTCCAAGAGCCAGTAGTCAAAACGCCGGTTGTTCAATAATTTATCATAACTATTTTTTTTAATTTCCAGTTCTATTTGTTCTATGGAAAAAGAGTCGTAAGACCAACCGTGATGTACTGCTTGTGGGGTTGTGTGATTCGGGMAAGACTGCTCTATTTTCATACTTGGTGTACAATAAACCAATACAATCTTTCACGTCACAAGTGGAAAACATAGGCGAGTTTAAAAACAAAAAGGTATTTAAAACATTGATATATTATGTCACCAATAGAAAGTGTATTGATGAATTATTGTCATGTACTGTTTTTTAGAATTTATTACGCCTAGTTGACATTCCTGGCCATGAAAGAGTGTTCACAAAATATTGGGATGCTTACAAAATGAGTTGTAAAGGTGTTATGTTTGTTGTGGATTCAGAAACTGTTCAAACTGATATATGTGATGTTGCCGAGTAAGTTTTAAAACTAATATAAATACCTATATATTCTTTTCAATARTATTAATTTTTTACAGGTTATTGTACAGAATCTTAACTGATGTAACAATTCAAACCAACAAGACTAAAATTATAATACTATGTAACAAACAAGACAAAGTATTGGCCAAGGGATCAGAAGTAATCAAGACATTGCTCGAAAAAGAACTGTATGTATTTATAAGTCAGAACTATTAGATTTAAAGTTACATGCTTACTATGTACTGTGTTTTAGGGATACATTGAGATTAACAAAGTCAAATCAGTTGGAAAGCATTGACGGCAAAAAGAATAAGACTCTGTTGGGCAAAAAAAAGAAGCATTTTGAGTTTACTCATTGTCAGAYGCCAGTTGAGTTTGCAGAAGTAATTTCTTCATCACAAGACATAGTTGTAGAACCAATAAAAGACTGGTTAGAAAGTATTCAATAAATTCTTACTATCTTGTACGATATGTTAATGTTCCCATTTTCAGAATCACTTTTGAGCTTCTTTGTTGTATATACAGTTTTTTGTATACATATTTATAATCTATAATTATAAATGTATTTTTTATTGTTAAATTAAGAGACATTTCTTCCATAATGGTAGGAATATATGATTAAAAAAAACTTCTAAATCGCAGTCGAATCTAAATTTTTTTCCAGTTTATTAGTTGCTGTACATTGTGTACTTATTACAAGTATAATACAGTTCTATCTATTTTATTTTTACCAAGTATATGTATTTATTTGTAATTTCTTTTTGTATAAATCTTTAATGGTTTGATTCGGTACTAAGATTTTTAATTTTGTAATTAATGATATATTGATATGTAAAAATTGTACATAAAATGCATGAAATATGTTATCTAAATTCTATAGAGTTCAACCTCTGTAGTCATATTGTGGTTAGTCAATAATTTATATGACAACAATGTTTGATGAAATTAAAAACTATAGAATTTCAAAACTCAAACACGCCTTCAATTTGTTACCGAAAAATTAAATATTGTAAGTAATTAACGGTTGTAACAAGGTTGAAATTAGAGCAGCTTTCTCTTCAGAATTGTGGATTATTGTTATGGCATAATTAACTTATAACAGTATAATTATATTTGACTGTTTATTAAGTTAATAATAGAGCATTGAAATGATATGCTCACATATTATCATGATTATAAATTTATTAGTTTTATTCAATAAAATAAATAACGGTAAAGTTTTCGCACACAGATAACCATTAAATCCCAATAAATTAATTTAATCAATGATGGAAGAAACAATCTGCATTGTTTGGTCTTGTAGGAACCTAGATGTAGTTGTGACAATGTGTTGCCGCACATTTGATCTATTTCGTGTGCCGCCGGAATCAAGGTATAGCCCAATCAGGGTCTCTGTCGCCAAGGATTAAGACAAATTTCTTTGGAAACGCAGAGGCCTTTGATAAAGCTGCCTGGAACTCTGGTAGGCTCGACCAAATCTTCCTCACATCTGTGCATAAGCACCATCCACGAGTGCATGAGCACCAGTAAAACTAAAAGAAACAAGTACAGGAGCACCTAAAAACTCTTCGACACCAGACATTGCGAGCGACAGCTGGACTGTATCTTTTTTTAAATCAAAATTTAACAGTGTTGTTTTCCTTTAATCTGAGTGTTTAATAAAAAACCTTTATTTATCTTATTACATCAACTGTGCATTCAAACACAGCTGCGAATAAGGTAAGGTGCATGCACATCAATATTCATCTATTTATATAATTTTATATATTATATTGTATTTATTGAATTTTTTATAATTTAATAATTAATATTTTATTATTACGGTGTACTTGGTCATTCTTGAATCACGACCTCGAGAACCCTCCGACGACCAAGAATGAAGGTAATTTCGCAAATCTAAATAACTTATAATAAATCCGGCATTCATTCAAGGCTTGTGTCCCTTGTGTTTGCCTAGCATTTACTTAAACACAATAACTAGCATTAATTACAACCTATAACCATTGATTATAGAATAGACTATTCTATAATCAATGCTATAACTAATATTAAAAATCTTGTTATTTGAACAAACCTTTATATTTTTACCCTATCACCACCTTTACTTTCTTTTCTTTTCTTTTTGMATTATTACAGTATGAGATCATAATATGTTTAAAAAATTTACCACAGTAAATAATATAGCAAATTTTGATAATATTGTAAAGTATAGTTAAGWATTWAAAATGTGACAAACATATCATAAATCATATAGTAAAATATATTAATCCATACATTAATTGAATTACTACACTAGTTTATACTGTACACCCATGCATATTAATTTAACTATTGGAAGAGAAAAAAATTTAAGATAGACGATAGATTAGTTCCTTTAAAAGTAAATTAACAACAATTAAATAGATGTTTTTGATTAGATCTAGTTGTATAAGAACTTGTGATTCTGTTTTATAATTGTATACAAACTGAGAACATAATATATTGTACTGATTCTAAGAATTCAAAAAGAAARTTAACGTGGTAACAAATTAACATGTAATATTTCTTTATAGAAAAAATAAATGATAGCACTAAATTCTAAATATCCTTAAAACATATTAAGAAAACAGTAWAATTWATTGTATATTTTTAATTTAAATAATTATTTTTATTTTTATTAAATTATAKTTCTAGTTGTTATTTACATATTGAAGAGCATAATGCAATTGGTGAGTTTTAAAATTGAATAACAACTAATTATTTATAAAGAAGGTACATACATTGTTTAAACAATTACATAAATATAAATATACATTTCAAATATTCTAGGATAAATTTAAAAAATATATTATTGGCTTTATTGTGTTATATTTAATGAAATTTTCTGGTTTTTAAATCTTTTATTTTTATTTATGTATAATACAATATTATTGTTAGTAATTCAAAGCTCGTAAACTTATTATAAGATCACTCATAAGTCATAAGTTTTTTTGAATAACAAATTATTTAAAAAAAATATTGATAGTAGGTACATTTATGCTTGATTAATTAATCAATTAATTTATAATCATATAAATTSCCTCAATATTTAAGTTTTAAATTTTACCACTGACTTGAAAAATTTTCACAAAGTTTATTATCAAACTAAAAATATAAAAATACACATGCATTTACTATTCAGTGTCTTATTTAAGAATTCTTCTTGGGGAAGATCAAACACAGTTACCTAGTAAATAATACAATTATTATTATTATTTTTTTATTTTGGTATCTCGACACCAGCGATAGTTCCAAACATTAATATTAAAATTACAAATTTCCTAATAGAAATCAAAACTCTTATAAATCTCATAATTTCCTTACTCACTRAAGTTATTTCAAGTCTTCTAGATAAAAAAAAAATTAATAATAATGTCTTTACAAATAAATCCCTTCAAATTTGATTGTTCAATGCAAATTAGATTAATATCTAAAACAATATTTATATCTCAGACCAACCTACTATATAATACCACTGTTTTATGCTAATAACTTAGCGGCGCACTATGCAGACAACAAAGCAATAATATCAACTAGCTCAGACCCCGTTTTAGCTTCTACTTATCTTCAAAATCATTTCTATCAAATGAAGGATTAGTGCAGAAAATGGCTGTTTAATGTCAACCAAACCAAATCAATTCATACAACTTTCATCCTTAAACAAGCCCAATGTCCGGCTGTAACTCTATATGATATCCAAATTCTCTCAACCTCTACGGTTAAATATCTTGGACTAACACTCGATCGCCGTCTCACTTGGGCACACCATATTAAAACTAAACGGTTGCAGCTGAATTCTTGGCTACGCATGCTTAAAATACTCCACATTAATAATAAACACATAAACTTAGGCACTAAACTACTTATGTACAAATCCTAACACAAACCTATATGGACCTACGGTATACAACTATGGGGCAATGCTAAAATCTAAAATACTAAAAAAATCCAAACGTTTCAAAAWATTACTTTAAGGAAAATTACCAACTCTCCCTAGTACATATCAAATTATACCCTAACCACCGATTTCCGTCTAAAAACCGTCCAAGAAAAAGTAAAATACTTCTATAAGAGTTTTCATGATCGTCTCATAGCTCACACAAATCCATTAAACATTAAACCATCAAACGAAATAGTAATCCTCGCCGACGACAATAAAGAAAATGGTGCAAAGATCTCCTAAACTAAAAAACGAAAGGTTAAAAAGTAGTTAAACTTCTTCCAACAACTATCWTTCATGTCACTGTAAATTAACTCATAGGCCATATTCTCATTGTGCCTTAAAGGTACAGATTGAGTATTTCTTATAAAAAAAATTTTAATATCTTACTTTAGAAACATCAGTTTATACCTACTTCTCAATTTCTCATGTCTCGACAATGGATACAAATAATTAATTGTTATTTAAAATTTAAATGTTATTATTTATAATCGTTCATCGCTCTCCAGGCATTCCAACATCCAACTGGACATATATAATTATGTACATCACGTTTGACTGGTGAAGTGGTGACCACATTTGGTAGAACTAACGACCGTCGGTTTAACGATAAATGATGCGTGCACCGTACATCCGACCGCTAGATGTCGCCATATACTATTCCATGTGAGTGGGTGCCTGGTGAAACGACTATTATTATACCATTGATTTTACCAACTCGTATGACGTATAGCCATAGACCTTATACCGTATAAGGTCTATGCGTATAGCACCTGATAAATGATAATGTAAATCATGAACATTTTGTGGCGGTCCTGGACGGATACCGCGTGAGTCAGTGGTGTCACTAGTGTAGGAAGTGGTGGAGGAAAAAAAA